GAAACAAAAGCCGTGAAAATGACTGAGCTAACGCTCCTCGTAGCGAAGAAGAAGATGCCAAGAAGAAATTGAAAGCACGAACCGGCATCACCATTGTCTTTAAGATCCTAATTTATTGCATCCTCAATGAAATTCAAGATGAGCCATATGTGCGTTGGCTGGCCAACTTAGGAGACACGCAGAGAGGCTTCAACTTGAGGTACCGCTATACTTTCCATGAAGAAAGGGGGCACCGAACGGAGGATTGTGTGCGGCTCAAACAACACTTGGAGGAGCTGGTTGCGGCTGGGCACTTGGATCAGTACATTGACGGGGGTATGAGGGCCGCCTCACAAGGACAGGCCGAGCCAAATGGCCTTACCATCCTGGATGTAGCTCCCTAAGGAGTAATCAATGTTATTCACGGTATCTTCGAACCAGCACAGGTTTGCGAGCTGAGGGGGATAATCAAGAAAGCCAAGCACATGAGGTGCAACGTTCCAACCCTTTACATGTCATCGATATTGTTCGCTTTGGGCCATGCCCGCAAGGATTTGTTCTTCCCAGTGGGTCATCCATCCTAGAACTACTCTAGCCTAAGCACGCTTAACTAGGGAGTTCTGCTAGGAATTTCACTACCCGGGAAAAGGCCTCGATGCTATATAAGGGTCTAGGTTTTTACTTTTATAGCCCAAGAACTCCTCCTCTATTCCCGTTGTGGGACACCGGGACCTTACATGAGGGAAGTGCTCTCTATTCAGCCCGCCGTGAAGAAATGGAAGACCGAGATAAAAGACGTCTTAACTTTTTCAAGCAAGGACTTGGAAAGAATTCAAACGCCTCATAATGATGCCTTAGTTATGACTTTTTGGGTCAAAGACTTCGACATCAAAAGGATACTGATCGACTAGGGGAGTTCGGTCGAGATCATATACTATGATGCGTTCAAACAAATGAAGTTGGAGGATAAAGACCTGGCTCCGGTGACGTCTCCTTTGTTCGGCTTTAACTCTCAACCGGAATGGCAGATCAGAAAGATCATATTGCCAGTCAAGACCAGGTCAATCACAAAACAAGTTGAGTTTTGGGTATTGAAGGTCCCATCAACGTATAACTTGATCTTGGAGAGGAGCTGGTTGCACGTCATGCAAGCAGTAGCGTCGACTTATCACTAGGTCATGCTCTCTCCTGCTCTAGCCAGGCAAGTAGAAGAGGTTTGGCGGGACCAAGTAATAGCAAAACAATGCTTTGTCGTGGTAAATGGTAGCCGGGCTGCCAAAGGCTTTGTCCAAACGATAGAAGGGCTAGAAGAAAATGAGCTCCTGGAAGATATGAGAAGAAAAGCCGAAGAGAAATCGGTTGAAGACTTGGTGGAAGTGCGTATTAATGAGAATGACTTGAACAAATTCTTCATTTTGGAATCATCTTTGTCTAGCGCCGAACGGCTAGATTACGTGAATTTTTGGTTTTCAACATTGAAGCCTTTGCGTGGATGCCTTACGATATGCCTGGCGTTGACCCTAGCTTTATTTGTCACCAATTAAATGTCTTTTCCAACGCACGATCAATCATTCAAAGAACTCGGCGCTCGGCCCTGCACTATGCCGAGGTAGTGGCAAAGGAGGTCAAAAACTTGCTAGAAGATAGGGTAATAGAAGAAGTACAATACCCTAGATGGATCTCTAATACGGTGGTAATGTCGAAGAAAAATGAGAAGTGGCGGGTATGCGTTGATTACAAAACGGTTAACCATGCTTGCCCAAAGGATAGTTTTCCCTTACCAAGGATCGACTAGGTGGTGGACCTTACTGCCGGGCACCAAAGGTTCAGCTTTTTAGATGCATACCGGGGCTACCATCAAATAGCCATGAACCAGACAAAGAGATCACATCGTTTACCACACCCAGGGGCTTGTACTGCTACAAGGTTATGCCCTTTGGCCTCAAGAACGCCGGGGCAACTTTTGAAAGAATGGTGACCAAAATGTTTGCCCCTCTATTGGGCCGCACTATGGAGACTTACATTGACGACATGGTGGTGAAGAGCAAAGACAAGTCTCAGTATCTCACTGACCTAGCTGAAATGTTCGTTATTCTCAAATACCACAAGTTGTGATTGGATGCATCCAAGTGCGCTTTTGGGATGGGAACTGGAAAATTTTTGGGCTTTTTAGTTACCAACCGAGGAATTGAGGCCGACCTTTCACAGATCAGGACAATTCAAGAGCTGGAACGACCAAATTCCACAAAAAACATACAACATCTCACCAGAATGGCGGCTGCATTGAATAGATTTATTAGCCGGTCATCAGATCATTGTAGACCCTTTTTCAAGACTTTGAAAGCCAAGTTTTTCTGGGATGAAGAGTGTGACCGCATGTTAGTGGATCTAAAGGCTTATCTCTCCTCGGCCCCAATCTTAGTCACACCACAATCGGACGAAGAGTTATATCTCTACTTGACAGTTTTTTAGTATGCGGTAAGCACGGTCCTCATCCGTCTTGAGGGGATCCAGCACCTCCCTATTTTCTACGTCAGCAAGACACTGCTCCCGGCTGAATCGAGATATTTGCCGCTTGAAAAATTAGCACTAGCTCTCATAATGGCCTCTAGGAAGTTGGAGCACTATTTCCTTGCCCACACAATAATAGTGTTGACCGAATTCCTGCTCAAGGTGCTTTTTGAGAAGGCAGATTTCACCGGTAGGATTCTGAAGTGGGTCGTAGAGCTGGGACAATACGACATCAAGTTTGAGCCGCGTACGACTATCAAAGCTCAAGCCCTTGCTGACTTCGTGGCGAAATTTTCCCTTGGCACACACCCTGTTTGCCTTGTTAATTTGGCTAGCGTGGACTTAGCGCAGCCCACGGCTTTGATAGCAAAAAAAAAAGTGGCGAGAAACAAGTAATAGAACAGTAAGAAGATACTGGGCTAGCAATGGAGGAGCAGGCCGACTTACCAACCGACCTAACAACTGGGCTAGCGGAGCAAGAGAAGGCCAACTTGCTGACTGACCAAACGAATACCCACGCGGATAAGCTCTACACGGAACCAACTAGTGCCTTGGATTTGATAAACTCTAAAGAGTGATAAACTTTAAAAAAATGAATACCCACAAGGTCTATGGTTTACCAAGTGATAGCTCAGTTTGACGTCCCACATGGCCCAATGACGAGGAGAGGGAAATTCCTACTATACGTTAATACCGTTTGGCTGTTCGACAAACCCTGTTTGGAGGTTTTGGTCTCTACACGTGTAAGAAAGGTAGAGGGGAGCACAGCTGCCTGCCCAGAGAAGGACAACAGGGGTAGTGCGCCCATAATCTCTAAGGCTGCATGGCTAGTCTTGAAAATAAAGAACATGGAGACGTTAAAGGTAAGCAACTTGAAAGAATTTCCAACTCTCTCTCTCTCTCTCTACAGGGCTCTCCACATTTTTCTTCTCTACCAAGTGTGCTAACTTGATCGTCGGAGGGTTTATCCGGTAGCACACCGCCAGGCAGCTCACCGTTTCTCTGTTCTTAGGTTAATCAACACTACGTGAAGCTTGGATTCAAAGAGTACGAAGAACGGATGATAATTCCTTCCCGCACATCAACCACTACTCTTGTGTATATCTCCATCACACAAGTACAATAGTCTTATCCCATCCCATCCCATGGAAATGATAGAACGAATTTAACTATACAAAACATATGATTTTGACAGAGCACCTATTTGCTCTCCTGGTAGACTTTTCTATTATTGGAAAATGCCTATCTACATACAAAAGAAGGATTTGGAACAAAATAAAAATAATAATAATAATAATAATAATAATAATCAAAGCAAAATGGTGTAGAGATGGGGACTTTGCCAATTCATTATCATATTACTAAAGAAGCTTCCCATGATTGCTTCATTGACCAAAACTAATGCATTAAATCTTAAAAATTCTAAGATATTTGAATTTGGGTAACCATTTTTCTTCAAATCCAATCATAACTCCAATGTTGCGTCTTAAACCGTTTTTCTTGGAATCCAATCATATGTCCGATGTTGCGTTTTCTACCCTTTTTCCTTGGATTCAATCACACACACACATATATTGTTACATTTTTCATATCATTACCATGCTTGCAATATTTATTAGAAAAGGTGACGTTTACTAAAACGCCGTTAATGAAACGCCGTTAAAACCCTAATTTCCTGTAGTGTTAGTAGCTATGTTTATCATCAGAACGAACTAGGATTCAAATTTTGAGAGCAAAAAAAATATGTAATTTTTAATCGGAAAAAATCATTGCAAAAGTGTGCTGTTTAGAAAGAAGCGTCAATGATGCATGATCAAATTTGACTAAAAAATTATTTTTAAAAATTTTGTTATCTAATTAATTTGTGGGTACCAAATTTTATAATATCGACTCCCACAAGTAATCATTTTTTTGCTTAATATGTGAAAAAAAAAAATTAATAATAATAATAAACCTCTTGGTTGAGATGTTTTTTTCCCCTTCATTTCCCAACTGGTTAATTTTATAATTAGAAGATACAACAAATTTACATCTTTTTAGTTTCAAGATTCATTTGTTACTATCGAAATTAAAATTGGTAGTCAAACCTTTCATGAAACTGGTCATGAAAAATTTATGACCCTTGGATTACCTTGATTAGTGTGTGTGTTTTATTTTAAGTGTAATCCAAGGGTCATAAATCCTTCATGATCATTTTCATGAAAATTTTTTCATGATACCTAGCATTGCTCTTCGATCAATGAGACCATGCAAAAGTAATTGATGAAGTCACTTAATTTCTCGCCCAACAAATCAAGATACGGTACATTGGTTCCATTCTAGTGCTTTTATTGGTCTGAAAGTACTAGGTCAACTTGCAAATACTCCACAATTAAGGATCCATTGTTTCAAAAACTAGCTAATTTTCTATTTCAATTTATTTACGACCCTTAAATCATATATCAAGCTTTTCATATCTTAAGATAATATCTCAAAATTCGCACATTATTCAATAGATCGAAGCAAAGAGATGATGGAGAGTATTGTGACCATCTAAACTGCACTATGCAAATGATAACAAGAAAGTAGACCAACTACTACCAGATTCAATAGACTCAGTTGTATTTGTAGCAAAAATAACATCAACCATACCAATATTTACATTCAAAATTCCAACTACAAAAAAGAGACCATCATTCATGTCTTCTTCTTCTTCTTCTCTTTTTTTTGTTTCCCTTTTTCTGTGGACACAAATATGATCATCAATGAACAGTAATAACTGGGATTTTCACAATTCAAACTAAAGTGGAGACCCAACTAATAAACTTGTTTGATTTTCACCAACTCCAACTTCACTCACAGCTTGGCTCTCTGTTGCCTCAATTCCAGACTCACTCAAATGGTCAATTTCTAAAGCCAAAAAATTGTCAATTTCTGCTGTTTGGCTCTCCCTCGACTCCCACTCCGTAGTTTGGCTCTCCCTCAATTCAATCCCACTGAAATGCCCACTTTCATCCCCAGAAACTGAGCCACCTTTCCATGAATCAGTACTGGTTCTACAGATTGGACAAATGGGTGTTTTCACAAGCCACAAATCCACACACTGGGCATGAAAACTGTGCTTGCACAGAGGCAACAATCTACACTTCTCACCCACCTTGAAATTGTCCAAACAAACAGCACAATCCACTGGACTACTTCCTTTCTCTCTTGCTTTGAAATCGAAGCTCGGAAGCCTTTCGAGGTCGTCTTGAGACATGCTTGTGCTTCCAAATCTGCCACTACTCTCAATTGCTGTGCTTGCATTCATAAACCCTCTTCTGAAGGCTCTCCCAACTATACAGACATGGATTATGACCAAAAATCCAATACCCACAAATAGAAGTATCAAGTAAATCGCGACGTTCATAACTGGTTTGAGTCACAGAAACAACTTCACTAGAAATGGGAAAGAGGTTGTGTACATCTTACCTTACCCAGAGCCCGCTTTAGCAGGAGGCTCATGCATTGAGTCTGCCTGAAAGGGTAAAAATGGAGGGGGAAAGAAAACTTGAAAAAAGATCAGACTAGATAAGGATGAATTTAGTACCTTGAAGGTGGATGGTTCTGTTTTATACAAGGACATGCAATAAGTGAAACAACAATTTAATAACATACAGAATTAGATACAAAAAAATTTATAATGATATCTAAATAGAATTCTGATGCAAAATTTTTATGAGAATGATTTAGCTTTTATGTGGGTTTTTCATTTTAAAACCAAACCAAACCAAACCAAATACCATCATTGCGATTCAAAATTACAAAAGTATATTTTATGTGTAGAAATTTTATTTTTAAATTATTATTATTATTTTTTTCGGATGAAAACGTAAGCAGCAGAGCAATTGGCACTGGCGGTTGTGGGTCTAAAAAAACATATTTTAAATGCTTTAGTGGTGGAATTGGGTTTAATTTCTATATAATGGAGTGGGTGGGAATGAACCCAATGTTTTAAGACTCCGACAAAATATTAGCATAAGAAGAGAGTGAGAACTCAAGCTGTTTCTCTTTGTCTTTTTGTTATCATTTCCTTCCATTTACAGCAGCAGTTTGGAGTCTCTGGTCCCTCCATTAAGGCTTTGTGATAATTCCCATCTCATCGCTCGGTACACAGATTATGGTAACAACTATTCTCCATCCTATTTTAGTTTTAATTGAACTGAGAAAATGATCTTAAAGTTTACTTTTTTTAACTTAAATGATATCTACAAATATAATTTATTAATAATTCAAGAAGATATGAGACAGAGGAAAAGAAAAATTACTTTAATTATTTTAATAAACTATTACATCATTAAATTTGAAAAATAAATCTAATTTTTTAACTAGAGTAATACTATTCTTCCAAAAAAACTTATGTAATTTGCTGAAGTGTCATTACAAAAAACATATATGATAGAGAAACTATAAAATAAAAATAAAAATTGCCCTTGCACAATTCTATTTATTCTTATTATGAAAGTAACACTGCTGGAAATTGATCTTTTAGTGGCGTTTAAAAAACGCCGCTATAGTTACTAAAAACGCCGCTAATTGTTTTTGTGACGTTTAGTACCAAACGCCGAAGATGCGGCCGTCGCTGTAACTTTATGACGTTTTAAAAGCGTCACTAAAACGCCGCTAAATGTGCTGCATAATTATACAATGACGTCACTACACATTTAGCGACGTTTTAAAAACGCCGTGATAGGTCATTTTTATTTTCAAAATGTAACCGTTGGCATTCTATAGTTACGTTTAAAAACACCGTTATAATTTTATTTTTTTAAATAAAAAAATTTGTGCTAATTCTGTGAGATTTAACTAAAAAAAAAAATACCTTTTATAAAGATGAAAAATATACAATATATTGACTAAATTTAGGTAAACATAATACAAGATGAATTCATGCTTCTCAATATGCAAAAATATTTCAATTTCAAGATGAAATAAAGTTAACCTAGTACCTAGTAATAAGTTGAAAGTTATTACAAAACAGATCAGCACAAAAGATGCAATTCAAACTAATTATATATACAACTACTATGAAAGCATCTACTAAGAAACAAAAATTCCTGGGTTCTATAAGGAAGATGATGGTCCTCTGTTCACATCTGAGCATTGTTGATACATCTTGTGATGTCACCTGCCAAGCATTCACCAAAATAGGTGTTAACAAGGACAAATTCAAAGCAGTGAATCCCATTACTGCAATCCCTTAAGTTTATAATCCTTCATATTGTGCATGTTAGGTGACATAAGATGAAGATATACAAACATCAACGTAGGAAGTATGTCCAATACAGTATTCATAAGATTAGGAGAATTTATAAAAATCAAAAGTATATTATATACAATGAAGATTGAAATGTATGCATAATTACCTGGAAGCTACCGTCACCAATGGAAGCAATCACTTGCTTATTTTGTGCAGCCTGTGCATATCCAAGAGTCGCACCTACAGCCCAGCCAATTGATCCATATTGCATCTGGAACTCATACCTGCAAACCCCAATTTCATATTATTTTTTGTATCATAAAACATAATAAAACCAAAAAAAAAATGCAACATTCTCTCCACAACTTACCCGCATCCCTTAGGCAACTTTAGTTTCTGCCGCTTTGCTAGAGCTCTCAGAAAAAATAAATAAATAAAATTAAAAAAAAAAATTATCACAGGCGTATCAATATGCAAACAGAAATCTAGTGTATGTCCAAATATTTAATATTTACCTCCCCTAGTGTGTTCCCTAATGTTGGCTTTTTTTGTATACATCTCTACATTTACATTTACACATACATGTATTCTTGGATCTTTGTCTTGCTTAATACATGATTTTCTAGCATGTGGTAGCAGGGTTGTGTGACAAATATGCTGTTGTCAAGAATACTTATGGCAAAATGGATTAACTCTGTGCTGTATCATAGACCTGTTTGAAGGTACATTATGCTTCAGAAATTATATAACCTTCATATTTGGGAAGAGAAAACCATTTTTGATAATCATTATGTGCCAGAAAACAAATGAACTTCTCAACTTACGTATAGTTTTTCGATAACAGCACTTATATTCTAATTAAACTGTGGGTTGTTATGTAAGATGTACTTACATATTCAGGAGAGATGTACTCTTTTGTGCAACTCTTTTGTGCAGGAAGGGTACCAGTTAATTTATTATTCCCAAGAAACCTGGGCATAAAGAAATTAGTTCAAGCAATAAATAGTATATGTTGGAAAGATTCTAAAATAATACAGCACAAGATGTTTATTACAAGTAAGAGAGAGAGCTCAAATTAAACAGCGAATCAGGAATCTGTCCAGTTAATTTGTTGAAGCTAAAATCCCTGAAAAATTATACAAACCACGGTCAAGTAAATTCATTATATAATAACGTAAATACATTAAAAGTATTTGCTTCATAGAGTTGGTTGTCTGGTTTTGACCCCATCTTCCGCCATCTGGCTCTGAACTGGCCAAATTTCAGGTTGAAGCATATGGGGGCTGACCTGAAATTAATAGCAATAACTTACAGTTGTAAGAATCTTTGATAATCTCCAATATTGGATGGGATAGATCCAGAAATATTGTTATTCCTCAGAATTCTGCAAGACATGAAACCACATGGTTATATTAGTTTTGTACAAGAGCAATTAAGGAGCATGAAAATGAAAAATTAAAACAGAATAGATTTGCCAGCAATAACCATATCGCCTTACAAGAGATTCAAAGACTTCATATCCTTAAGAAACGCCAATGAAGAACTTCCATTAGATAAATCACTTATCCTTCTAGATGAGCATGGGTATGTTATAAAAGAGAAGACTAGCTTTATTGATATGCTAATATGAACAAAAGCTGTTGAAAGAGTTAATGCTCACAAGTCCTCCATCAAGGTTAAGTTGGAAAATGTTGTTGGTATTGAACCTCCAAAGGAGTTTCCCTGAAATCTCCTACAAACAAAAAATAAATAAAAGAAAAAAAAGAAAAAGAAAAAGAAAAGTGAAGTGGATTGCTGAAGAGTGTTATACATCTCAGTTACTACACATTGCTATTTTAAAGTAAGGCTATAATTTGAGTGTGATTGTCAAAATAAAGAGAACACAACATAGAAGATTGCTTACAAGCTTTTAAGCTTTGACCAATTCCCAATGAATTCAGGTATGCTACCAGTGAGTTCATTGTCTGAAGCCCACCTGAGATCCCCAAAATTCTTCCTCAGTAAAATTGATAACAAAAACAATTAATCTGAACACAATTTTTAGTTTCTCAGATATGCAAAAAGGATAGTTCAGAAAGCTCTTACACTGTCTGCAGATTTCGTAGAGCAACAAACATTGAAGGTATAGCACCACTAACTCCAAAGCTACCAAAGTAACTGTCAAGGTGGATAATGTTCAAGATACAAATGCAAAACTTTTTTGTCCTCAATACCAGATTTAAATTTAAATTTTGTTCGTTGATGGTAAATCACGAGGTGACAACTCATGAGATGGGTTGCAAGCAATCAGCTAATCAGTAGAAAGGTACATGATACATATAACAGATCTTTATATCTACTGACTATGACATTTCTTATAACCTGTGCGATACAACAAGGGGCATTAGAATAGTTCTGTATTCTATGTGTGGGCCTGTTTTATTATTTTAACAATTCTTTATGGGCTAGCAGTCTTCTTTTGGACTTACCAATGTAAGATTAGAGAAGAGAGTAGAAGACTTCCCTATGCTTCCGCAGGAATTCTCTTCTAATTAAAGTCAACAGACGGGACTGTCTTGACGAGGGAAGAAATGAAAAGTCGAGGGAAAAGTATTTGGTTAGCTTTCTCATCTAAGCAGTGAGCAAACTAGGGATATCTTCAATATACAGCTCAATTGCAGTAACACAAGAATTCTTTGCTACTAGAATCTAGTACACACTAGTATGAAAGTGGCATTCTTGCACCATTTCCCAATTCTAAGAGAAGCAGCATTTTTCTGGATAACAAAATCAAAAAGTGAGCAAATGTCTCAGCACTTACAGTTATTTGTACCAAAGGCCCTGGAAAAGTAGCAAGTCAACAACATCAAAATAATTCAAATAAGGTAACATTTGAATGGTATGCACAAAAGAGGAATGTCTTTCAGTTATTTGTGAATAAATTGAGAATAATGACAATATAAAGTTTTATGAGACAAAATAACTATAAGTGAATAAGTGAATGCATGCGACAAATTGATTAGCATTAAACATGATTACTACTTTACTAACTCATTTTATTGATATCCAGCAGAAGCAATAGATAGACAACGAATGACTATGTTTAACAGTTCCCATCGTGACAAAACATCATATTTAAGTACTAAAAAAAAGTAAAAGCAAAAATTATTCAAATAAGAATAGCAATTAAGAAGCATCATACCTCCCATATTCATCAACAAGCATGCCTTCCATATCTCTAATTGGATCATCTACAGCACGCTCAGCTCGAGACGGACGTGGAAGGAAAAATCCAGCAGATGCATCGTCATTTGAAACTCCAATGTCATCCATATATTGGCGAAGAAGAGACTCAGGTAAGATTTTCCTCTCAAGCCATAATCGCAAAACCTATGGGATACAATTAATTCAATTTATCAGGTAAGATTTTCACTGGTATGAAGTGTTACAATTTCCTTGAGACACTGAGGGTGATTTTCACGAGCAGCAACTCCAGGAGAAGCAGCAGCTCCTAAAAGGCGAGGCAGTGCTGCTTGAACTGTAGGAATGTATCAATCGTATCAACACAACAGTTTCAGCCATCAAAACCATGGGTGGGTCTATGACCCAAAACCCAAAAATTCCTCCTTACAACAAGACAATCAATATCACACAATTAACAAAACCCTCTATGTGTTGATCAAATGGTAGACTCATGTTATATTGTACACACAACAGCAGATTTCTGGGAGGGATTTGTGCAAATTAAAGTGAACAAATTTAAGCTTCTAGAATTCTCATTTCAATAGAACCATTTGGCCCAACTAGAATTGTCATTTCAATGCTATAACACAGGTCCTTATAGGCAAACTAATTGCAAAAAAGAAGCAACAATTCTCACCAGTGATCAGCTACTCCAGGAAATGCACAAGCAAGATACCTAAGAATTGCAGGACTGCAAAGCATATCAAATGCATAAGATAGTCAATATAAGCTTAAAAACAGAATGTATAATTTAGAACCTTAAAAGAACAAAAAGATTGAAGAGCATCATCCCAAAAATTTGTAGATGCAGCAGTGACCAACAGTCTACAATTCATATATGAAAAAGAACACTAACATTAGGGGAATGTGCATAACAGTGCCTTTAATACCTAGAGTCCAAGTACTACGAAAACTACGCAAAGAACACTTGAACTAACCAGAAGCCATGAAGGGATAAGCAAACTAAACTTTGCATTTTGAACCAGATACATATCTTATGGCTTTGTAAGATATGAAACTCCTAGAATTTCATCATTCAATTACAGGAATGACACAGAAACAAGGGCCAACTATCTAGGAATGACATCAAATTTGCTAAAAACAACATATTAAGGAAGAATGACAAAGCAAGCAAAAGAAGAAATTGAACAGGTTTCCAAGCAAATAAATACCAAATTGAGAAATTGAGAGAGACAGGAAGGAAGGGCTTGAGAGAGAGAGAGAGAGAGAAATCGATACCTCGCTGGAGCTTCGAAATCGCTCTGAGATGAAATCATTGAGACCGATCTGAATCTTTGAATCTCAAAGATGAAGAGAGATCTAGAGAGAGAGACACCGCTCTGGAGCTTCGAAATCGAAATCGCTCGCCGATGGTGGTCGCTGCGTCGCCAGTGGTGGCTGTGGAGCTTCGAAATCAAAATCACTCTGAAAGATGACACCGTTCTGGAGCAACATCGTGAGAATGATAAGGGTTTAGAGAGCGTTGAGAGAGAGGCGAGATTTGAAGGCGTGAGGATTCAATATAAGGGTTTACAAAGGCTTTAACAAATATTCTGAGATTCAAAATAAGCTTCGAAATTGAGAACGAATCACCCAAACATAGATTTCGAAATCGAAATCGAAATTGAAATTGAGAGAGAGAGAACTTCGATTAGGGCTACAGCGAGAGATGAAGGAGAGCGAGAGAGTGAACGAGAGGGTGAGAGACTGAGAGATTAGGGCTATTATATTTGATATTCACCCGCTCGCCGAGGGAGAGATATAGGACATTCGAAGGCGTTTTTAAACGCCTTTGGTTAATGAAACGGTGCCGTTTTGATTTAAACAAAAAGCGACGTTTAAAAAACGTCGTTAAATATTATAAAATGTGGCGTTTAATAAAACGCCGTTAAATAAACGTCGTTAAAAGTTATATTTCTTGTAGTGTAACTAAGATCAAGAGTTGATGTAACTGATGAGATTCCTTATTAGTTGTGATATGGTTAAATTTAAGCTTGTTACATTGATGCAGCATGCATTTCCTGTTTTTATTTTCCTTCATTATTGTCTTCAATAAAAAAAAAGAACAAGAAAAAAAAAAAGAGAGTTGTTCATACTAAGACATCCTTAACTATTAACAAATATCAGTTTATTCCCCTCGTCCATAAACACTTAGAGCATCTCCAATGGCAAGCCATTAGAGTTGCTATTGTCAAATTATAGCAGCAATTCATAGAAATCCACCTCCAATGGGCAGCTACTATCTTTGGCAAATGTCAAGCTTTGACAGCTACAAAATGTGTCATGTCATCAAAACCAACCTGCCAAGTCACCAAAGGCAACTGTTTCCTCCCTTCCTCCCTTTCTCATCATCCTTCTCAACAAATAGTTCCAAAATAGAAGCAAAATTCACCCAAAAATCCACCAAAAAATAAATAAATTTTGAAGAATTTTTATTTTAGAATCAATAATAAATCAAAAAAAAAAATTGAATTTCAAGAATTTCAAGCAATATGAATGAATCAATTTTAGCAATTTCAAGCAATGAATTTCAAAAAAAAAAAAATTTGAATTTTAGCAAGATTTCAAAATCATAAAAAAATATCTGCAATTTAAAGAGGAATTTGGCTTCATCTGCTTCATCTTTGTGTTTCGATCATCTTCATTACAGCTTTGGGTTGATCTTTTTTGTCTTCTTTGGATGGTCTTCATTAGGGTTTCGGGTTTGAATCCATTTTTGAGAGAGGGATCATTGAAGAAGAGGTTTAGAATAGAGGGAGAGATAGATCGAAGAAGGAAAGAGATGATCATTTTGGTTATGGTTAGGGTTAGGGTTAGGGTTAGGGTCAGGGTTTCGATCATTGAAGAAAAGGGTTTAGAACACACACACACACATAGAGAGAGAGAGAGAGAGAGAGAGAGAGGGTTTAAGAAGAGGGTTAGAGAAGAGAGAAGGAATTTTGGGATTTGAGGGTTGGAGATTGGTGGTGGGTATGGTGGTGGTTCCTGTGGTTATGGTGATGAAGAAGATGAGAGATAGAGGGAGAAGAGAGAAGGAAATTTGAGATTTGAGGATTGGAGATCGACAGTGGGTGTGGTGGTGGTTTTATTGGTTGTGGTGGTGATAGTTCCTGTGCTTGTGGTGGTGGTTGTGGTGATAAAGAAGATGAGACACAGAGGAAGAGAGTAAGTGAAGAAGAATGGAGACGGTGAGAGAGAGGAAGAGAGATGAAGATTGGTTTTGGAATGAAGAGAGAGAGAGAGAGAGAGCAGACTTGGGAGGATGAACTGGGTAGACAGAATCAGAGGGTAATACTTTTGTCATTGGAATGCACAAATTGAGCAACTGCTCTTTTTTTTCCCTCTAATTCAAAAAAGTTTGAAACAACTCTTTTTAATGGCTATAAATTAGGATTAAAAAAAAATGGTCATATTTTTACTCCCTATAAATATAAACAACTAATCTCAATTTGAATACACAACTTTCAATCTACATAGTTTTTTTCACTATGCCAAAAGAGGGCATTAACGGCGATTTTTTTAACGGCGGTTTCGTTACCGCTGTTTAAAAATACTATTAACGGTGGTAACAAAACCGCCGTTAATACCGCCGGTAATGACCCTTTAACGGCGGTAACGAAACCCCCGTTAATATCGCCGTTAAAGGCTTTAACGGCGGTTTTACTACCTTTAACGGCGGTAAAAAACCGCCACTAAAGCCCAATTTTGGCGTAGAGTTTGTTTATTTTTTTACACAATCAGTATGGAAGGTTCATTAAAAACAAAGAGAGAAAGATCATTCACTATTCAAGAAGACGTGGCAATTTGTAGAGTTTGGTATCACATTACTGAAGACCCAATCATTAAGACGAAAATGGAAAAAATGGCTTAAGCATCGCAAGAGATGAAGGAACTTGAGATAAAAAAAGAAAAACATTTGCAAGAGATGAGAGAACTTGAGATAAAAATGGAAGAACATTTGATAATGATTATGAATATTTCTCATTTGGACCCTCAGACGAAAGCGTAATACACAATGCGCAAAAATGAGATTTTTGTCAAGTGGTCCACACATGTCAGCAAACCAAATTACTATTTTTCCTGCCTCCAAATAAATAATTACGAGAGAATGTATTTTTTAATTTTGCAATGTCACTTGTTTATCAATATAATTTTTATTATTTCTTTTTAAATATAATTTTTATTTTGCAATGTAATGTAGTGGTCCATGTAATTAATAATTGTTTTTTATTGATTTTGGGATAGTATGTTTTTTTGGTGGGGTGAATTACATTTAAAAAAAAAAAAGAATTTAATTTTTTATATTTGTCTAGTTGGGTACAATATAAATATTTAGGTTCTGTTTGGTGGAGCTCTGGAACATTCCAAAGCTCGATTTCAACATGGTATTTGTTTATGATTTTCAAAAATTAATTCCACACTCACATTTGAAAACGCGGTCGAAGGCAAAAAAATTTGGACTAACTGGTCGTCCCACTGGTCATTCGGCCGGTTGACTGAAAGAGTACAATTTTTATTTATTTATTTATTTATTTGCAATTGATGCATGTCAATTTTTATATATTCAACAAAAAATATTTTTTAAATTTATTTATGAATTTTAATAGAATTTTGAGTTGTGTTTGGTTATGAGTTGTAAATTTTTGTATCAAATATCATGTCACATCAAAATTTTTTCACTCAATTCAAAACTCTTTTCAAAACTCATTTACCAAACAAATTTTTCACACTCAAATTATAATTTCAAAACTCACAAACTCAAAATACAGCTCTATTCTCAAATCATATTTAGAAAACTCTACCAAACGCAACTTTAATTTTTTTAAAAAGTTTTAAAAAGTCACAAAAGACAAAAAATAAACAATAAAAAAAAATCACTAAAAAACTTATATCCAAACAACACCTACAAATTTGGAGGGAAAGTTGGTTGAGATTAGTCAAAATAGTATGTGATCATTAGAGCACCATTACTATAATTTGACAATTTATTACTATTTATTACCAAATTATAACAATGGCAATATTATCATAGCAAATATCATTAGAGATGCTCTTACACTTTCATAAGAAGTGTAAAGTGAAGTGATATGTACAGATTCATTGATAAAAAGAATAAAGTGGTGTTCATTAATAATAAAGGGAATTCTAATGTAATTAATTCCTAAAAAATTATTCTCAACACAAAGAATCAAATTAAACAGAAATTTGGTATAGTCAAAATATAAAATTCATATTTCCAAATCTCCAGCCCTTGTAACTGTCTTTTAGGGCCCGGCAAAAATTATTGGTGGATACATTTTCTAGTGGTTAATGAAGGGAATGATTTGTCTCCAATTGAAATTTCAATTGATCCAAATAATTTAGGTCTTTGACTAGTAAGAATCATTAAACGAAAAATATTTATCGATAAGTCTTTGAAAAGATTCAATTAAGTTTTTTTTCATAAACTCTTACCGCTCAGAGATCTTAATTGTCTGACTCAGTTCACTTTTGAACTAGAGACGAGCCAAATCCATTAATGAATGAGACACAGCTCCTCATCGCAATGTTCAAATTACATCATGATTGGTAAAATATTACATGAATCAAAGAAAAAAAATAAATCAGTAGTTTATGTATTATTAAGATGTCCAAATGGGAATCAAGATCCGCTTGCCCACAATGATTAATTAAAATTATACAAATCAAAATTTAGATCTTCAAGAATTAAGACGAGGTTTAAAAAGCTGTACTATGCAAATGGGCTTTAAACAAGTGAGCTCAAATTGTTCAAAAACAATTTGATTTATTTGCAGCCCGAGCTATACTACCAAAGGAGTGAATAATGAGGTTCAAACCCCACATCAAGAGAGTTTAAAAAAATTGTACATTTTTTATTACATACATTTTCATTGAATATGTACAATCTTATAAGTTTTATAACATATGTTTTAAAGGCACATATTAACAAAATCATTTCTTAATACACAAACTTAAACTCAACCAGATGAAGCATCATAATGATAGAGGATGAAGATAGCATCCAAAACAGTCTCTCTCCATACATGAAAATCAAGACCTGAATAGGGCAATGGATTGTAATAATCAACAATAACAAAATCATTGGAGCAATAAATATGCACTATGAATGTTGGGAGCTTATATCATCATGAAGCCACAAATGAGAGAATGATAGTTAGCAGTATATCTTATGTCAAAAATATTATAGGATATATAACTCGCCTAAATGCCTCAATGGCCTTACTCCAAACATTTTAATTTTTCACGGTATTTACAAGTAAAAGATAATAAACCAACCAAAACAATGGAAAAGGGACAAAAAAGAGACAGTACTCGCTAAAGCTCCTCATGCATTACGCATATAGTTCATGCTAAGAACCCAGAACACGACCTTCCCGTGCAATATTGGTCACACGAAGCACAGCTTGAGCACTCAGAGGGGAGAGCTTTGACTGACAGAAGTGTTCCCAAGAACCCGTCTCTGAATCCTCAGATTCTGCAGTTTGCGTCGGGACATGACACTTCTCATATACAGTTTGGAGTTCCAACAAGAGAATACGAGCCGCTTCCCTTGACTCGGGAAGCTGGTCACTAAGCTGGGATGCAGCAATTTGGATCAATTTGTCAATACCATATGCTTTGATTCCCTCCACTCCCTGTAAAGCATGCAGCATAATAACACAACATTCAGCATACCCCAAAAACAAAAACAAAAACAAAAAAACTACAAACCTGACAATTGGAATCAAGTGATGACAAAATCCAAAGTTCTTATAACTGATTATAAATAGTGGTAATTTCATCCTTAACAAGTAGTGCCAGCATTAAAGATCCAAACACACTTAATTTACATCTCCATCTGAGGATTCAGGCAGATTCATTGTTTTGAAATTTTTTTTATTATTTTATTTTATTCTTTTGGAGTTAAAAGACTATTCATTTGTTTTCCTCGTAGAAAATTTGTCACTATACACAGATTTTCATTTTCAAACTGTATAAAAAAGAGAGATAATGGTCAGTTACAAGCAGACTGACTTAAGCATTTTCTTCTCTTTCCTCTAATTCTTTCTAAGAACCAAATGTGGCATAGCATATGAAATCATACTTGGGCAAGTCCGTAACAACAGAGATAACAATGATAGAAAACAATCTAAATTTTAACCTTCTTTGTTAATTAGAATTAAAGAAAAATAGCAGGCAGGAAAGACACTTGAAAATAAAAAATTGAGTTTTATTAATCAAACTAAACAGCGAAGGGAAGAATCAAATGTCACTTCTTACCAATCCTAGTACACTTCGACAAAAGCACATAGAAGCCTTGGCTCGAATTCGAGGATTCCTATTCTTAAGATTGGGATGCAACTTTGGTAACAACAAAATGGGGGAAACCCAAGTAGTCATGGCAATTAAAGCTCTCTCAGCTGCCTCACATACAAATCGTTTGTCTTGTGAAGATTTGAGAAGAAGCTGAACAAGCTAAACATGACACAGTAGGACAAACATATAACAAGGAGTCTAGATTAGCGAAAGACCATTCACCAAAGTAGGTATAACAAGAAGCAGCAATTTAAATGAAAATCTGTTACCAGAGGGTCCAATGAATCAGTTATGTGATCACCATATACACTGAAGATATCTGCAGAGGTCATAATTGAAGTCTTACAAACAGCACTTCTTGGATTCTTCAAAGATTTCACAATGAGGGGGATCACATTCTCCCTGTTCATCAAAATATGATGGCAATCAATGGGACATCAAAAGACAAAAAAAAAAAAACTTAGCAAAAAAATCAGTTTACCAATTTGAACATTGTCCCCACACTCTTCCAAACAGATCATCACATAAAAAGTTATATATTTATATATATATATATATATATAGAGAGAGAGAGAGAGAGAGAGAGACTTACAGCATGCTGACCATTGCTTCCTTGTGAAATATAGATAATCGGCGTACATCATTGAGTGCCTCACATACCAAAACCCAGTCTTTAGAGTCTAGTCCAGCCAAAAGCGTCTGAATAAAAAAAAAAGAGATGCATTGACATGATGACATCAATAAGACAATAACAAAATATCTATTAAAATTCATCAGAACCAGATTCAGTACACTTTAAAAGTTCCAGCCAAGCATCATGAGGAGATATCAACAAATACACTCCTACCTTGAGACTCATATCCACATCTTCTACATCATTCAAATTCTCAGATTCAATGTATTCCACTTCTGTGTTAACCACCTCTGCTCCAGATATCAGACTTTCATCTCCATTGATGGGAGTTTCAACCAAGAGGGCAGTGTTTTTCTTGTTCCTTTCATCAAGTCCATGCTCAGAATGAGGCTTGGTAAATCCACCCTTGCTGGAGCCTTCATTCTTCCTCTCAGAGATGGGTAGTGTGTTCAGATCTCTGAGAGCTGTCTCTGCCATACTGCAGGGAAAGCCTGAAAAAGGGGAAAAAAAACAAATCAACACAGGCAATACTTACAGAATTCAGCCAGAGTTCATTCCATCAATATGCAAGCAAACAAATACCTAGACAAAATCAGCATGGCCAACCAACTTAGGTTGATGAAAATTGAGATTAATATCTGAAGTTCCAATTCTTAAACCATGTAAAATAACACATCCACTAAAATGATTTCTGAGCTTTAACGGAAAAATGTTTTTGACCAAAAGAAAGAAATATCCATGCCTGTGAGTGGCTGAGAAAACATAAACAATGTATCACTGGCTGTTAAACCAATGAAAGATACAATTTCCCGAAGGAAGCGAAAGTATTGCACACAACCTCAATCGTAACTATAAAGCAAGGTTGCACAGCACAATGCTCAAATTGGCTAACTTCAACTCATTTGCATCCAATACATGGTGTTAAAGGGATCCTAACTCCAGGAAATTGTTTGTTAACGATTTTGAAGTTTTTGAAACTGCAACAAACAACAATTGAAAACATATAATTTCTCTTTTTCAGTTCGTCTGTTTGGATGTACCCAAGATGTGATCACAAGTGAACCAAAAAAGAATATTAAATTCAAAGCATGGTCCTAGGAAACTTAAAAGTTGGTCAATAAATTAAGAGAAGACAAGAAAGCAAGCCCCATAAACATAGGAACCTTATGAGGTCAGGCCCCCAGCAAGTAACAAGACAATGCCGCAATCCACCATACAATATAAAGAATAAGAAGAAGAAAAAGAAGATAATTCAGAAAACAAGATAGCACACACCCACCCCCACCTGCAGGGAGAAGTGCGATGTCAACTTTTCACATCAAAATCAAAGGCAAGCAAAAACCTTCAAATGCTGCTAAGAAACCATAGCTCACCAAACCACCGACCATGCCATAAAGACAAGAACACTAGGGAAACACTCAATAAAACAACATAACCATGAAACTCACACTATAACATCACTCAACAAAACTTGAAGGCAAGAGTGGAGCTGCAAACACTCATTAACAGGATATTGGCCTATTTTGAGAAATAGGTTAAATGCTGACTTTTTGTTTTTTTTTTTGAAAAAAATGTGCAAAAAAATATAGAGGTGATGTGACCCAAAAAAGCCAAAAAATTGGCTTTTAACCAAGTTCTCAAAATTAAGGTAGTAAAGTTAGAAATGCGAGCATCCCAAAAACCTTGGAAAATATCCAATAAAATAACTTGTTAGTTAAGGACCGCTAAATAAGATCATTGAATATAAAATTAAATGTACCTAGGAGAAATAGAAGGTAAAGTGAAAATAATAGTCAATAAGACCAAGAAAGAGTCCCAATTTAGTTAATAACATAAGGGACTCTTAAACAACTAGAATGAAATTTGAGTTGCAAAATCCACATATATTGTCCACTCTTCCCTGGGGATCTAAGAAGCATGAACATGGACATGTGACACGATACGGATACGATATGGACACGCCGACACGTTAATTTTTAAAAAATGCAGGACACGACACATGGGGGGACACGCGTGAAATATATAATTTTATGTATTTATTATATATTATATACATATATATATCATTTAAAGATAATAAAAAATGCAATATGACACTAATTCCTATAAATTTATATGGATTTTATTTTATCATTGTATCTTAAATTGTTTTGTTCAAATTTATAATTAGTTTCACATGTGTCTAAACGATAGACACGCGTGTTTAAGCGATTTACACGTGTGTCCTTAAAGTGTCCAAAGAGTGTTTGAGTCTTTAAAAAAAATTTTAAAATAGGACACATTTTGAAGAGTGTCGGACACATGTCCTAAGAGTGTCCAAAGAGTGTTGGTGTCCGGCACGGACAACACGAATACATCACCTTCTTAGAAGTGTCCATGCTTCTTAACTGGGGATTCATTGTGGTCACTTTTTCACAGTTTTAACTTTGAACAAAACCCATATTTAAGCTTCAACTTCAAAGATTCAAATTGAATGAATTAATAAAACTTCAGCTTCAAACACAACTTTAGCGAATAACAATGTAGAACAAACTTCAATAATGTTATTAAGACACCAAAACACAAGATGATAAGAAAAAAGGCCACTTCAAACAGAATGAGTACAAAATCTAATGAGAGAAGTACGCATACATACTCACACATGCATATATACATAAAGATGCCTCGAATGTACATTGGACAATATAGAAATATCTTGGAATGTTTGTCTTGCCACTTTTCCCCAAAATGATAGCTCCTTACATATGCATTTCAACTACCAGTACCTTAAGCTAAGCCTGATATTTCACTGTTTTCTTTTCTCCACTCCAAATCAATTAAAAACCTATAAGCTTTCTTTCCCCATTTTTCCTACCAGTTGAGCTTCCTTTTACTACCATGTAAATACAATCAAACAACTCATAGCTGATCTAATACTCCACTCCCTTGTACACAGTCAATGTGCCACAAAACATTCCCAATTTCCCAATCAAAACCCTAACCTTGCCCCAATTTCTCCAAAAACTAAGTAAGAAACAATCATATCTTGTTTCTACAACATACGAATCATAACAAAAAGAAGAAGAAAAAACAGTAATTGCAATGAGCATTATCAAAATCACAACAACACAAATCAAGCTAAAAAAATGAGAAACTAATCGCTCCAAATTACAATCCTAACTCAATATAAATCCAAAATCAAAACATCGATCTAAAAGTAAACTGTAAGAAACAAAAGAAGAAAAAAAGAGAGTAGATTGAATCAAATGATAGCAAGATCTCACTGTACAGAGCATAGACAGATCGTAATATTCCCAGTCAAATTACACACTCAACCGACATATACAGATTTGAAGTTCAGATTCAACACACAACAAAAACAGAGTAATCGAAAATATGCAGAGATAGAGAGATTACCAAGGAAGAAGATGCGATCTGGTAAGCGGTAGTCAAAGATGCTTTGCTTCTCTCTGTGTATAAGCAGACTAACGAGTATGCATATATATATATATATATATAAACAATGTGAAGAGTAGAGAGAGAGAGAGAGAGTAGAGAGGGAGATTGGTGACCGGCGAGAGGGGCAGTTGTATGCGACGCCGCTTTTGTTACCCGACCTGGGCCGGCAGCCACGGGTAAATGTGCTTGTGACCGACGAGAGGAAGAGGACAGATATATATATTTTTACCAAGGGTAAATTACACTTAGCCCCTTATGTTTCACAATTTCCTTATTTTTTTTCTTTACAGTTTTTTTTTTTTTTTCTCTTCACTTTCACCTTTTATATTTTAAATTTTTTTTAAAAGTTAATTTATATTTAAAATTAAACAAGAAATAAAAAATGAAAAATAAAAAATTATGTAACGTAAATTTTTTTTTTATATTTTATATATATAACTCACACTTTTAATATAAATTTAAATTTTAATATAATAATATTTTTTATTTTATGTGACAATTAATGTGACATTTTTTTATCTAATTTTAATAATAAATTGAAAAAAATTTAAAACATTAAAGGTTTAAGTATGAGAAAAAAATCAAATAATCAGAGTAAAAAAATGATCAAATGTAAAGAGATGAAGTGTAATTTAACCAATTATTAAAATTTTATTACGAAAATACCCTTGGATTGTGAGATGGATTATTTATCTAAAGTGCCACTACTACTGTTTACTAGTAGTTTTGAAAGTTGAGACTTCAATTTGAACTTTGACGCTCCAACACCATGGAAAAATGTAGTTTTGAATTGACTCTTTATCATTTGACACACATTTACTTTAAATCATCTAATTCGGCTAACCTTGCATCCGGTCCATTTTTTAAATTAAGTTATAAGATTTGATTAAAATATGAATTATTTATTATAGTTTGAAAAATTACAAATACTTTCTTATTATAAGTTTTTATTCAATAGAATTAACTAAAAAAAATAAAATTTTTAACTATTCTCATATATAATACAAAAAATTACATGAATTATTAATTGAAATATATTTACGATATCATTAAAAATTATTAATTGATTTAATGTTATACTAATAAAATAGGTCATTTATTATGAAATTAAAAATTCAAGAGGCATAATGTAATTTTCTTATTTGTAATTTATACTTTAAATTAAGGATCTAGTTTATATTATTGTAGGCCTATTTAAAATTTATTTTAATGATTTTAACGGTTTAATTTATAAGATTTTTGAGCAATTATTCATTTAAAAAATCAATTTAATTAGGTAAAGGCCACAAGTCATTAGGTTGTGTGTTATGATTTGAAGATAATCAATCAAAATTAATTAATTCATTTTTGGGTGAAGGAATTATAAGTGATAACAAAGCATAAACACACTTTGAAATTTTCCACACAAACCTCTTGTTTTGGTGCAGTAAAGACTTGTTCTGGAATTAATTGATGTGTGTCTAAATTGATCCAACCACCTAATTATAAAAAATTAAAAATAGAAAAAAAAAGAAGAACAAATTCAGATAACAAGAAAATCAAGAGAAAATCTAAGCATACGACAGCAGTTTTGCCATTTTTATCGTTTTGCTCGGTAAGCATCTTTACACAAGTCAAAGTTGCTTTGGTCTGCACCACTTTACCCTTGCTGGTAATGATAGGAAAATTTTATAATACACCTTTAAAAAAAATGTATATTATTTTTTTAAGTTATAATTTTTGTAATTTTAGTTATGATTTATTATGATGTTGAAATTAATTTCGTTATAACTCATTATGATATTAGTTATGATTTAGTTATTACTTACTGCGATTATTATTTTAATTATTATTAAAAAATCTTTGATTATATGTCAAATGATACTTGGTTATAAGCCTTAATTATAGCATATTGTGGTTTGTTTATATTCAGATATCGTATACTGTGATTGTAATTTTGGTTATGCCTAAAAAATCTTCAGTTCTGATCCATTAAGTTATCGAGAATGATTTAATTATGATACTTTGTGACATAACCACATATGGTGCAATAATTTTTTTGAAGATGTATATTGTAGGATTGCCTTATTTCAACCTCAAACAATATTTTTTCAAGTAAACATTTTTTTTTTGTTATTTTTATAGTTGAGTAAATTTTTAAAATTAGTATGATAATAAGCCTCTGTTTGGGAAGTGGGTTGGCTTTTTGGCTTTTTGACTTTTTTGGCTATTTTAGCTTGGGCTAAAAAGCTTGGTTTGGGAAGGACTTTTTGGCTTTTTGACTTTTTTGACTTTTTTTGTGAGAGAAGAGTATAGTGATTATGGGTTGGATGTGATGTTTTGTTTGTTGTGGCTAAAATAGCCTGTTTTGTTTTTTGTGGCTATTTTAGCCCCAACCCAACTTGCCAAACACCACCTAATTGTGTTAGTTGAGGTCACAGTGATAATGACAATAATAATGGAGATGATGGTGGTGACATGGCTACATCGGTAGTGGTGGAAGTGAAAGCACTGCCGATGATGGATAGAGTAGAGGGACGGAACAATGTGTAGACAATGGGGGGCCATGGCCTCCCTATTGAAGTGATGAATTGTGTTTATATAATACTTGTTTCAAGACATAATACTTTACTCCAAATGACCACCATATAGTGAAACGCTCCTCTTGCATTACAATTTATAACTAATTGGCATTATTTATGTAATATTTTAAATCAATTGTGTAGTAAAATTTTTTATAGGTGAGACATTTATGTAATATTTTAAATCAATTGTGTAGTAAAATTTTTTATAGGTGAGACTTGTTGATTACTTTTTAGGAATAAAATTATAAACTTGATTAACTCAATGAGTTAAGTTAATCTTAACTAATTCAGTGATAATTTTTTGTCAAAAATCTTAATAACGTTATCAATAGAATTAAATTGACACAAAATAAAAAATTAATAATTAAAATTGAGATACTTGAAAGTGGAATAACTAAAATAACAAAAGAATAAAATATAAGAGCTACCACTATATTTTACTTTATTGTCTATTAAATGTCTTGACCCAAGAGATAAATTCCTAGTTCCGTCCTTCAGTGGAGGTGGGGTTGGTGATGGTCCACCGCAACAAATTTACTCACACAAAAATACAAATTAAAACAGGACAAAATTGCTACTCATGATAATATAATTTTATCCATTAAGACAGCCAATAGATCCAAACCAACCGATCTACTTTCTTATTTATTTATTTATTTTTTAAATTTGTTCCCACCTTTTTTTGTCTGTTTTTTAAGAGGTAAAGTCCACATAATTGCACAGAGAAATACAAAAGCACAATGGCAATAGTGACAACAAAGCTTAAACACTAAATTAATTAATTAATTAATTAAGACCAGGCCCACCACCCCAGTGGCTCTCCGTCGTCATGGGGGTGGTGCTGCTGCTGCTCCGCCGCCGCAAATACAGGAGAGAAGTAATTCCGGCGGTCAATGTCATCCTTGGGGAGGTAGGAGTCACCGCTGTCCACAAGCTGTGGGCCATCCTCCTCCTCCACCACCGCACTTCCACCGCTGCCGGAGCTCAGGCGGTCCTCCACCTTCACATTCAGTTGGAGGATTGAAATATGGGGCACAACATCCGCCGGAAGTGGTTCAGATTTCGGTGCTCCTCCGGCTGCCACCTCTTTGGTTTGCAGCTTCTCAGTCAAGGACACAATCTGTTACACATTCGACATTAGATTACAAGTTTTTACCTAAAGTTATTTTTTTTTAAATATATATTTTTAATTCAAGTAATTTTAAACTTATTAATCAAATTTAAGTCATTTCGTGATTTCATGTTTTAAAAAAAGTTTAGAGGATTGGACTGTCTAGTTGAACTTAATTGTAATAAGACTCACTATAAATCTTATTTCAACAATTTAATTTATTTATTTTGTAAGTTCTTATATATAGATTGTTCATTAAATAAAAAAAAATAAATCTAATAATTGTAGTCATTATAAATATAATTAAAAAAATAAACTGTCTATTTTTTCTTTTTTAAGATAAATGTAACAAAATAATATGACTAATTATTAAATTTATTTGATTTTTTCTATCAATGATCTACATATTAAGACTTACAAAATAAATGGATCAGATTACAAAAATCGTGCCTGTGGACATAATTTTTTTAAAAAAAAATCTCTATTTGATTATTATCTATTACTGTACATGTTAGATGAAATTACAAAAATACCCAACGGTGAAAACACCTTTTTAATCCATTCCGCTCTGTTAATTAGAAATAAATAAATTATGAAAAGTGAAAATAATAGAAAGTAAAATGAAAAAAGAGAAAAAGAAAACAAAATATCTTTTCTATTTGGACGAAAATTTTGTAAGAAAATAGAAATTCTTATTATAAATAATTACTTTTATAATAAATTTAAACTTATATTTTTCTGTATTTTTTTGCAAGAAACTGAAAACTTAGTTATCATACTATTATGAGTTGTACAAAAAAAATAATTTTTTTATGACTTCCACCACTTTCATGCTAAACAAACTTAATTTTTTATTTTTTATTTTTTTTATTTCTTTCATTTTCTACCATTTTTATTCTAACCAAATTAAGCCTTCTGGGAGAATATTTTCGTGAGATTAAAAAGGTTTACACTTCCTTAGAAAATGAAACCTACTTTTTTTTGTTCAAGGTGGGGCTTGGAACAGATGCTATTTTTCAATGACAAAGAATTAACTGCTCAACTAATAATCTCTATATATTCTTTTTGAAGGTAAGGACGAATCAAATAGGTAGGTCCCCTCACCTGGCGAGATGTTCATGAGATCATGATTAAGTTGCCTGATCCAAACCTTAGATCTTTAAACTAGGAGATTGGAAAGGCTTATCACCTCTCAAGTAGTGATTACTATAGTTTTAAGCTAGAGTAATATATATATATATATGTTTAAGAAACTATAAAAACTTTCATGCTGTGTTTGGTCGAGAGATTTGGGGAGAGATTTGGAAAGGGAAAGGGAAAAGGTGTGTGAAACTATGTGAAATATAGGCATGATTTATTCACATTTCACCTACCTTTTCCATTTCCCTTTCCAAATCCCTTCCCAAATCCTCCAACCAAACACAGTATCAGTAATACTACAAATTTAAAAAATTTATTCAGAATTTTATTTAGAAGACTTATTTAGTGTATATTCTAATAACATTCTTTATCTTTTAAATTGGTTTGCTTAGCTTCCACAAAAAGCTAATCAAGAAATGATGAAGCGAAACGTTTATTGTATTAATCTATTTACTTGAATTTACACTCTACATTTACTTTTGCATCAAAGGTTTGAGTTAAAGGCCTGTTAATTTTTACTTCTAATCATTTTACCTTAGAATTATTATCAGCATTCTCATTAATTAACACACGTCCTCTCTTAAATAAATACAATCCTAAATAAACATATGTGGTGTTTTAAAAGTTAGTAAAAAGCTGATTTTTTAGTTTTTTAGCTAAAAAAGATGGCTTTTTGTGATTTTTTTTTTGGATTTTTTTTTTTGGATTTTTTTTTTTTTTTTTTTTTTTTTGTGTAAGAAAGCTAAAAAGCCAAAAAAAACTAGCTTTTTTAGCATGTTCTCAAAATGATCAACATCAACTATCGAGGGTTTTGTAATGCTACACCAAGAAAGAAAGTTAACATGGGACTCATTAGGGGTTGTATTTAGAAAATTTTATAAAAGGCAAGTACTATACCTCAGCTTTTAGTTTATCGTTCTCTTTGCAAATGGAATCAACATCTGATAAAAGAGATTCATAGGATGACTTGAGGTGATCAAAGTCCCTTTCGAGCAGTTTGGTCTTCCACCGTGCACGGCGATTCTGGAACCACACCGCCACCTGCCTCGGCTGCAGCCCTAATTTCTTGGCCAACTGGGTCTTCTGCTCCGGTTCCAGCTTGTTCTCTGCCTCAAAACTCTTCTCCAGCATGTTTACCTTCACCCAAAAAAACCAACCAATCAAACCATAACTCAAATCATATATATATAAAAATCAAATTCACAGCTCATTCAAATTTCTTTCTTTCTTCTCCTCTCTTGCTTTGCTTTCAGCCAAATGGGTTTCTTTTATTTATTTATTTGCAAGTTTTAGATTATTTTTTTCTCCATAAAGAAATGAAAAGATTTGATGCTTATACGATTCAGATAAAAAAGGAGAAGTGAATATATGTAAATATGCCGCACTTAATTTACAAATTAGAAATGTCCCATACTCGTATCACGCTTTTAAGATTCTGTTTGGCTATGATTTAAAGTTAATTTATTGGCTAAAAAAAGTTTTTTGTTAAAAGAAAAAAAACAGTTCATCTGACAGACACATTTCTTGTCAAAAAACCCACGTTAATTATATCACTGATTTGTATCACCATTTTAAATCACGAGGTACAAAATATTATTTGCAATCATTAATGTCTTAATAATTATCAACTAGCAAACAAACCAATCATAATAGTCTATGTAATTTCGTGATAGAAAACAGTAAAAAAAAAATAGTGATGTATGTAACATTTTTTTAACATATAAACTAGTTTTTTAGCTAATTTTCAAAATAATTTGGAATAAAAGCTATTGATATCAGTCACCGCATATCAATATTGTGGATATTGAGCTTATACATTGAGAATGGAGTGATATGGTAATAATTTTTTAAACACATCAATCATAAAAAAAATTATATATATCACTTGTGGATCAGATGAACTATACACATTGAAAATTAACTATAATTTTATTTCAACTAAAATATTGAAATATATAAATTTTTTGATAAAAACTCGATAAATATTCATCAATACAAAATATATGGACTGATATTTTGACAACCAATCTCAATCATATAACGTGAGTTACAATAACTAACCTGCTCGGGAGTGAGTCGGCGTTTCTTTTCCGACAATTGCTCGTCGTAATAGTCGTCATCATATAGTTCTTCTGAAGAGCTGAAAAAAGGTCGCCTCTTTAAGGTCTCTTCCATGTTCATCACCGATCTTCCTCCTAAAAAAAAACCGCATAACAAAAAAATAAAACTACCCTTTAACATTAATATTCATCAAAACTTATTACACACCTATTTTTCCCTGAACAACAATCAATCTTGTGAAAATTTTCTTAGGAAAATTCCATCCAAAGAATACAATCACCCCCAAACAAATGTAAATCACCCATGAACAAAAATAAAAAAATTCGCAAAATTTCGAATATAAGATATAGATTTAGCTAATTCATGAATCAATCTTGCCCTTAAATTGTGTAGTCCGAGTAATTTCCTAATCAATTTTTTGGATATGTGATTGTATATTTTGCGTAATTTTCTAATCAGTTTTTTTGCGACGTGGGCTTGCTAAAATTTATCACTAATTTAAAAATATTTTTTGTAAATATATACATACTAATGTAAAATTATCAAATAATAATAATAAAACGTACAAATCACCTCGAAAAACGGGATCGCCATTACCGACGAACAACATGTTGGTGTGATACGAGGGATCGAAGAAAACACGGCTAGAATCCATACCAAAATTACTAATAAGTGTGTGTATATATGGGGATTTCTGGTAATCAAAAGAATTTTAGATGATAGTAAATATGAGAGTTTAATTTTAGAAGAGCATGAGCTTGTGACGGAAGAAGCTAGTACTCCACAGCAACCTCGCCGGAGTCTCCAACGGGCAGATACAAAATCCCATCATATGATCAACCTTACCCAGATCGCCGCCCAATTTTCCCGGTGGAGGGTGTCAGATTCGCCGGAAAAGAAACAAATTAGAAAAGAACTTGTTATGAAAAGAGTGAATCTGACACACCGGCCACCGTTGGGTCAGATTCCGGCGACAACCGGCCACACTCTATGGTGTTGGTGTTTTTTGCAGCTAAAGTTGATAGTGGTGAGGACATAGCGTTTTATAGTTGCGGTTGTGCTTGTTAAATTACACAAATGCCCTCGAGAGTTTTACTTTTACAAGTTCCACGTGGATTTTTTTTAATGGGAGTAGGTTGCCTCCTCCAGTTATTAATCGGATTGTACGATACTGTTTAATTTGTAGAGGCTTATTACGAGTCTCGTTTTGATAATCTGAATCGTTCAATATATACAGTTCGTCGAGTATTATATACTTGTAAAAAATCACGTTGATCAGATATCGATAGCTATATTATCTTATCAGTTTTTTGTCAACCGTTAATTTGTTCACCATCCTTTTTTTTTATACAAAACTGATTTGATCACATAGTTATCGATAGTCGATTAATGCGATTTTTTATGAGCTTAGAGTAATCGACAATTTCTACACAGTAAACGGTTCGGATTATCAAAATAGGACCCGTGGTAAGCCCCACAGGCTGAACAGTAACATCCATTCTAATTATGGACCGGAGGCAAGTTGCTTCCTTTTTTGATCATTTTAACTCAAATTTGTTTGAGTAATGTTGGAAATTTTATAAAAAAAATTTTCAAAATTTCTATCAAATATTTTATATAGGTGTGAGACTCACATTATATTTTTGAATTTGTTTTGTCAATATATAAAATTTTATAAGAATGATGTGGTAATATAATTTTGTAAATAAATTTATTTTTATAAATATTTTATTTAAAAATAAAAATTCACATTAAACTATATTATTCTGTGTGAATTTTTCTGTTTATATATTATTTTTTAAACTCCTATTTTAGTGGTGTATCTGCAAGATGAAGGGAAATTCCATGAAGACATGATATGCATAACCGACTATAAAATTATTTAAACAAAATAATTTTTTGGCTATTTGAAATTGATGGTGGGGTTCATCGCTAAAATTATTTCACTTTAATTTGTTTTAAAAATAGTTTTTATATTTATTTTGTGTACCAAATTTAGTGAAAGGACAAAATGAGTGGTGGTGATATGGATGATGGTATAATTAAATTTAATAAATTATTAATTTTTATATAATAAATTCATTTTTAGATATTTGTTAGTGGCGTTAGTTGTTATAAATAAATAATAATAATAATAATAATAAATTAAATAATATTTTAGAGACTATTATTAGCATTTGTCTTAAAATTTGTGAAATATCAAAATGTATGCTCTCTTGTTAGTTTTTTTTTTATTTTTTATTTTTTATTTTTAGGGGGGACAATTTGTTGCTAGTTAAAAGTTAGGCCAAGTTTGGGAAGATTAAATAAGTGCAATTTGTTGTTAGTTAAAAGTTAATAATTAGTACACAGTAAAAAGCATTTCTTCTCCATTTTCGCAATAATTAATTTTTTAAATTTAGGCAGCAAGTCTTCCCACGTGATCTCTTGCTCAATAACATATTGGTCAAACAAATATATCTATATTTACTAGTAGTCACCCGTGCAATGCATGTGATTTTAGAAAGTCAATAATCACTAAAAAAATTTTATTGTTTGATTGTATTTCTTAATGTTTTTATTTAATTTGTGAATATAAATCTTATATCACATCATTAAAAATATTAAATATTTCACATTATTAAATTTTTTTAAAAACTATCATACACTAACATATATAATACCTAATTGATCTAAGAATTATTTCAAACAACCAAAAATAGAGTAACAAAAGCATATTATAATTAATCACAATAATTAATATATTAAATAAAAGTAACACTAATTTTGTTTAATCAATAGTAGATATTACATTAACCATCTCATATAATATAATAAATTAAAATAAAATTAATTTTAATTCCCATTATATTCAGTTAGTGGTTAAAATTTTTTTGCATGATATTTGTTTTTTAGGTTTTTAGGGTGTTCCCAAACTTGGCCTTAGTAATTAATACACAGTAAAAAGCATTTCTTCTCCATTTTCGCAATAATTAATTTTTTAAATTTAGGCAGCAAGTCTTCCCACGTGATCTCTTGCTCAATAACATATTGGTCAAACAAATATACTTATATTTACTGGTAGTCACCCGTACAATGCACGTTATTTTAAAAAGTCAATAATCACTATAAAAAAATTTATTATTTGATTGTATTTCTTAATATTTTTATTTAATTTGTGAATATAAATCTTATATCACATCATTAAAAATATGAAATATTTCATATTATTAAAAAATTTTAAAAACTATCATACACTAATATATATAATAGCTAATTGATCTAAGAATTATTTCAAACAATCAAAAATAGAGTAACAAAGGCATATTATAATTAATCACAATAACTAATATATTAAATAAAAGTAACCCTAATTTTGTTTAATCAATAGTAGATATTACATTAACCATCTCATATAATATAATAAATTAAAATAAAATTAATTTTAATTTTCATTATATTCAGTTAGTGGTTAAAATTTTTTTCATGCTATTTGTTTTTTTTGGTTATATTGATTCATTAAACACAAATGGTTTGGAATGATTAAAAAAAAAAAAAATTGGAAATGCATTAAACTTGAATTGACAAACATAAAGAATATAAATATTTAAATTATTCAAAAAAAATTAATATTTTAAATATGAGATATTTTCCATTTGCTCAAACTCTGAATCTAAATAAAAATAAAAAATAAATGAAAAAATTTGTCGTTTTGTTCTCAAAGGAAATGAGTTTCTAAAAATAAATTTAATTATAAGTTATTTTAACAGGATAATCAATAATAAAAAATCAACTGATGAATAAATTTAAAGTATAAACCCATATCCAATAAATTTTGATGTGTTCTTCATTTTCAATCTAACATCTGCACCAAAAAAATTAAACACAAATAATCAATAAGTGAGAGAGTTACAAATTGATAGTAGTAGAACTTTTATAAATATATATAAAAAAAAACTCAATTAGATGACACATTATTAACAAAAAGAAAGAAATAAGGAAAAATACATATTGTAAGAAAAAAATTTAAAAATAAAATAATAATATCCATTTACATAAACTCACTTTCTCACAAATGCAAAAACTCATGCAAGTACACAATTCAAATGTGTAAAGCAAATATTTAGGATTTTTAGGCACCGAAAGGTATCAGAAATGACTCAATGTTGATTATTTTCCTCCCAATCTTCTGTTCATGGTTTCTTTTGCAGGAACTTGTTTTTATATTGAAAAGATCATGCTTAAACAATATATATATATATATATGAAATTCTTCTATCATTATTAAAATTTGTATGGATAATTAATTGATGGTTTTAAAGAAAATAAGCTCAACTTGAAGATAATTAAGTTGAAATATATGAAAATTCTATATACAAATCTAAAAAAAGATAAATAAGATCGTTAAAAAAATTATCTTCTTTTTTGGGATATTTATATCCCAATCTTAATATTTTTTATTTAAATATTTGTTATCTTTATTTGAATTTTTATTTTGCAGTTCAAATCTAAATAGTTATATTTTTATTTTGTATATTTCTTCATCTCTATTTTTTTTGTTATTCATATATAAATAATTACCTTTTAATTTTAAAAATTATTTGACTCGTAATATTTTTTTATTTAGTATTTTTTAATTGTTCATATATAAATAGTTAAATTTTTATTTTTAAAATTAATTGACTCGTAATATTTTTTATTTAGTTATATTTTTATCTTTTATTTGACTCTTTATATGATTGTGTGGTTGAAATTTGAATAGTTATCTTTTTATTTTATTTTATTTTACTTTTTATATTTTTATCTCTATCTCTTTGTTGTTCATATCTAAATATTTATCATTTTATTTAAATCGGCTTTGCTAGAGAGCTCTAGTAGAGTTGCTCTAACAGCAGCTCTACTGAACTGGCACACCCAATCAAAAAAAAAATAAAAACAAAAAAGAAAAGAAAAGAGGAAGAAGACAAAATAAAAAGAGGAAGAAGACAAATTAATGCTATTTTAGAGCTCTAAAACATTTTTCTATTTAAATATATATAATCCTTTTAGCTTTTGAGATTTAGATAGTTGATAAATTATTAAAAATTAGGAAAAGTAGGAGGGAAGACTTGAGAAATGACACAAAGGAGAGAGAATCCATAAGAATTTAGTATTAAGACTTTGGAAAATTCTCATACTCCGCTACATTTAGTATAGATTCAAAATAAAAAAGGATAATATGTGATTGAAGGAGAAAAAAATATAAATAAATCAAAACAAAGATTTAGATAGATATGTTTTTGATAGATACAGATTAACAAACCATATATTTATTTAAATTTTATTATTTTAATTTTTTGTAAATCAATTATTTAATCTTTATCTTTATCTATAGACCACGAAATTAATTTTTATGAATTATTTATCAATTTTTATATGTTTATTTATCTATAAGTCATGAAATTAATTTTTTTAAATAATTGTTTTAATTTTTTTCTTTATCTCTAGGTCATGAAATAATTTTTCATAAATTATTTATGAAATTTTATATGTTTATCTTTCATTTTTTTAAATCAATTTTTTAACCTTTATCTGTAGGTCATGAAATTAATTTTTATAAATTATTTATCAATTTTTATAAGTTCATTTACGGAAAGAAATTTTAAATTATCTATAAGTTGTGAAATTAATTTTTTT